ACTTATGTAATTTTAAGTAACACCTGTTATTGTTGGTATTTATTCATTGAATAAATGTGGGGATCAAATTTCAAGTGGCTCCCACGATAAAAAAACAAAAAAAAAAAAAAAAAAAAAAAGATAATTAAATAATTATTTATCATTTAAATAAATTTTTATAGGTCCAAGTTCAAACGAAAAAAAAAATTTTTTTTTTTTTTTTGACAGGTTCATTAAAATCTCTTGACGATAATAATAATTATTATTATAATAAAAACAAAATAATAATTCGCGAGAGTAAATTCAAAAATTATTTAAACGAAGGAGAATGCGAAACACACGATGATTGCATGCAAATATTAGAAGGATCTGAATGCAAAAACAACACGTGTTCGTGTCCGACATATTGGATTTTAAGCAACGATAAAACAAAGTGTTTAAAATTACCCACGGGATACGGTTCTGAGTGCGAAGAAAGCATACAATGTTCAGAAACGTTGTTGAGCGGAGGAATTTGCATCGATAACGTTTGTAAATGTAAAAAAGGTTATCACTATTTGAAAGGATCATGTTGGAAAAGTAGAAAACTTCACGAAACTTGTCTGACGACGGAACAGTGTTACTCAAATTCGGATTATAGAGGACAAGAATGTAAAAACAAATATTGCCTTTGTCAAAATGGCTACTACGAAAGGTTTAATTCGACGTGTCGTAAAATTAGAAACATCGACGATTCTTGTAACATCGATTCCGATTGTTTTGACGAGGGTACCGTTTGTGAAAAAATGATTTGTAAAAATAACGACACGATTAAATTTTCCAATAAATTTTTTTACGAAAACGTTATCGATATTGTACGATTTGACGACACCGAAAAAAATTTAACGTGCCCTAAGGGTCACTTCGAAATGAATGGTAAATGCGTCGTGGAATTAGGAATGAAATGCACCGGTGATGATGATTGTAAACACATTTCAAAATCCGTTTGTTTAAACGATGTTTGTTATTGTGACCCGGTTTTGGCAATTGCCAGTGAGAATAATCGAAAATGCATGCAAGGTAAGAACAAAAACAAAAATTTCTTTTTTTTTTTTTTTTTAATTTCATTGTAAACATTTTTTTTTTTTTTTTAAATTAGTTGCACGAGGAAAGATGGTAAACATTACAAAATCCGTTTGTAAAATTGATCGTCAATGTGCCGTTTACGGTGAAAATAGTATTTGCATTAATAGAAATTGTCATTGTAAAAATGAAACTTATTGGGATTCGGAAAATCAATACTGTTGGAAAATTAAAGGGATTGGAGAAACATGTTTGTCGGACAGAGATTGTCACACGACGAGCACACATGCGGAATGTAAAGAAAATGATGCGACGAAACAAAAACTTTGCACTTGTCAAGATGGCTATTACGTAAAAAATCAACAATGCGTACCGGAAGCTGTAAGTGAGTAAATCTTTATTGAAAAATTAACTTATTCACTTATCGAATCAATTATTTAATCATTCAATTTATCCAAAAGATGTGGGAGATTTTTGTGAAGCCGACGAATATTGTTTAATTGACAACAGTCATTGTAACAAAACGACAAATTCGTGCGTTTGCAACGAATTTTACTATCCAGAAAATAAAAAATGCATGGCGGGTGTCGGTAGTCCGTGTGATGACGAAAAACAATGCGTCAAAATAGAAAACACGAAATGTTTACCGGAGAAAAATTCAACTCGAAAATATTGTTTGTGTAAGGAAAATCACATCAACTCAAACGATTATAAAAATTGTTTACCAGGTAAACTAAAAAAAAAAAAAAAAAAAAACAAAACTCACCGATTGGAAAAATTCAAATTCCAATGATTTCCGGTTATATTTTCAGTTTCCGGTTTTGGAGAAAATTGTTCAGCATCGTTTCAATGCATACCAAAACTGGGATCCTTATCTGAATGTTTTAATGGTAGTTGTAGATGTAACGAAACGGCTCATTTATACAAAGATCGTTGTTTTAAAAGTCGAGGTGAGACGTGGATTTCGAATTGAAATTCCAGGTTTTAAACCTAAAATAACGAAAAAAAATTATTTCAGTCATAGGAGAATCTTGTAAAATGAAACAAGAATGTAATTTGGGAAATGATACGGATATTCAAATTTGTTTAAATGGATTTTGTTCGTGTCACTGGGACTACGAACTCGATGAAAACAAAGACTGCATTAAACGAAATTCGGGTATTTGAATGAACTTTCCCCTCCCCCCCCTTACAAACGACAAAATTGCATATAAATTAAATGTTTTTGTTTTAGGTTCGAGGATACAAAATATCCTGGAGTGGACTTCTTTGACTCTGATATCGATTATCATAGTTTTACGAGGGTGAAAGAAAAATATGAAAATTCACCGAACAAATATATCGAATAAACGAACCGGAAATTCGATTTTTAATCGATTATTTATTCGGAAACCGGAAACGATTTCCGCGCGCGCGTGTGTGTGTGTGTAAAAACACTGATGGCATCATCATCATCATCATCGCAATAACATTTTCCTTAACTATAATTTATTTCATTGAAAAAAAATCGATTTTCTTTTACTTTAGCAAAAAAAATTAATAATTTTTTACCTCGTTTATAACAAAAAAAAAATTTTATTTTATTACCCTCTCTCGTGTAAATTCAAATCAAATTGGATATTAAAAGGTTTATTATTTTTTATATTATCAATTTTTAATGGTTTATTTGCATGTTTTTAAGAATTTTCCGACCTACTTAAATGATATAACAAGGAATAACAGAAAAAAAAAAAAAAAAAAAAGAAAATTTAACACAATTTTATCTGTTTTTTTAAAATGTAAAATAACCTCAATATCCAATTTATTTATGTTCGATTTAAAATATTTTAAAATTAAATTTATTAACTTTATTTATTAAAATAAAAAAATCGAAACGATTTAAATAAATTCGTAATTTTTGTTTTGTTTTTTGTTTTTATTTTATTTTTTTTATTAGTGTGAAAAGGTAACCATAACCACGTTAAATATAATTAAAACAACAAATTCGAGTATTTCGTGTTCGAAACGAATTAATTTTTTTTTTAAATTTTAATTACGAAATGTTTAGATAAAAAAATTTTTTCAATTGTTTTAAACATCAAGTTATTTATTAGCCGTTTTAATAATTTAAAATAAATAATAAATGATAATGATAATAATAATGATAAATTCAAATTTCCCTTTCCCCTCCGCCTCCCCTCCTCAAAATTTAAAAATCTGTTTAAAAAAAAAAAACAAATTTTTGTTGCCATTTTTTTTTTTTTTTTCCTGTTTAACCTTCATCGATCAAAGTCCGAAAAAAAAAAAAAAAATTTTTTTTTTTTTTTGGGGGGGAAAATTTATTTTCCTTTTAAAAAAAATACCAAATCGGAGTAAAAAAATTTCCTTTTTTTTTTTTTATGTAACTAATATTCATCATTATTATTCATGACTTTAGAGTAAAATAAACACGAAAGTCTCGCGCGGAAAAAAAAAGAAAAACAAAAATCTCAGCTGATTTTATTGATTTATTTTTTTTTTTTTTTTTTTAAAATGAAAAAGTTTTCCGATGACCTCTTCACCCCACCCCCCACTCCAGTGTTCTAACAACCCCCTCCCCTCCAAGAGAAAAAATATTTTCCAATAAAATTTATACTTCCTATTTTTTTTTTTTTTTTATAGTAACTTTAAAAATATGTTAATAATAATGATAATTACAATAGTTATGGGGAAAACCTTGACCAACACAGTCATTCATCATAAAAAAAGTAATTTTCTCCCCCCTCCCTCTCTCTCTCTCTTATTCGAGGGGTAAATACTTAAAAAAAATCTATTTAAGGGTACAAAACTGGGAACTGTCATAATAACGATATAGTTAACCATTTTATTTTAACATATAATCGAATTCGATTTTTTATAAAAATTAATTTTTATTATTTTTCGTGACGTCACAATCACTCTCTCTCTCTCTCTCTCTCTTTCGATTCCATAATAAGAATACATATAATAAGAAAATATTTATATATATATTTTAAAAATAAAAAAATTTTTTTTATTATAAAGTCACGTAAAATTCTCATTGGATGAATCAATTTCAAAAAAAAAAAAAAAATCTAATTTTGGATAAAATTGCATGGTCATTAAGAAGAAGAAGAAGAAGAAGGAAAAGCAGAAGAAAATTTATAACACGAAAAACTAATTTTAATACTCTTCCTAAATTTTTTTTTTTTTTTTTTTTTTTTTTTTTTTTTTATAAAAAGGGGGTGAAAAAAAAAATAATTTTTTTTTGTGTAAAATTCATGTTTTTTATGACGTCACTACCGATGAAATAATTTTAAACGTTATTATTTTAAATCTTTTAACCTTAACTCCCCCCCTCCCGAGTAAAATTTTCTTTAGGGTCAAAAAACTTTCGTTAAAATAAATTTTACCGGTCAATATCATAACCATGCAATAAGTCAATTTTCTCAAAGGGGGAAGAGAGAGGGGGGAGAGAGGGGGGGGATGGTGAAGGAAAAGAAAATCTAAAATTCGCGTATTTAAATAGGCAAAATTTAAATCGAGTTTTACGTCACATCCTTTCAATGTGTCAACAACAACACAATAAGTTCAAGTTTTGATAATGACAATAAAATGATAAGAGAATAAATTATTTTTAAACGAGACTGTCCTGAAAAGATGAAATATTCTATTTATTAATATTAAGAGAGGAGGAAAAATAATAATAATAATAATAATAATAAATTGAATGAAAAAAAAAAAAATCACTTTTAGTAGTTTCGTGTATCATTCATTAAACACAACTCACGATTTACTACAAACGATGTTAAAAACGATTTAAATTTCTATTTTTTTCTCTCAATAAAGGATTTTACAATTTTATATAAAATGTCGGACGCGATACCGGATACGATTAACGAAACCGTAGAAAAAAAGGGAAAAAAAGTTTTACCGCAGACGACGACGACGACGACGAGAAAACCGGAAAATTCAATACGAGAAAATGACGATGAAAAAAATTACAACGGTTTAACAATGCAAGAATTAAACGAATTCATCGACGATAAATTTTGGATAAAAATTCGTAAAATATTATTTCTATTATCAATTTTATTATTTTTAATCATATTCATCGTATCAATATTAATAATTGTTTACACGCCGTCGTGCAAACCGGAAATGGTACCGAATATTAATTTTAGTAAGTAATTATCAAACAAATCCATTACTTTTTTCCCCTCCCCCCATTTATCCCATAAGTTTTCCTTTAAACCGTTATTAATTATTTCCAAGTAAATTAAACTAAAAAAAAAAAAAAAAAGGGAGGGGGGGGGTTCGAATGACTTTTATCACAACCACTAAAGTTTTTTTTTCTTTTTTTTTAAAACTAACGATGACCTCGTTAGTTTTAAAAAAAAAGTAATTCAACAAGGTAATTATTAATAATCGGAAAAATTATTTTTCCCTTTAAAAAAGAAAACCTCCAAGGATAATTTGACACACATTCGTTATTCGACATTTGGTATGATTTTAAAATGTAAATACATATCCGAAAATAATTAATTTTTAAAACACACGAGAAAAGAAAAGAAAAAAGAAAAACCGGGGTGGAGGGGGGGGGGGGGGAAAAACACCTTAAATATCGACTTTTACAAATTATTTATGTATTTACAAGGTATTAAAAAAAAAAAAAAAAACCTCGGAAATTACCATAAAAATAATAAATAATAATAATAATAATAATAAAATATTTTTAATCAGTCACGGTCATCTTTTGTAAGTATTGGAAAGGTTTTTTTTTTTTTCTTTGTGTAAATTTTTAGCCTTTAGTAAAAACCTTATCCGATTTTTCTTTTTTTTTGACTTTGTTTTCCTCCCCTGTGAAATTTTATTATGATTGTATAATAGATGCAATGTGGTAATTTTTAAAAGAAGCGTCACGCAATTTTTTTTTTTTTTTTTTTTTTTTCATTTAAAACAGTGGCGATTCGGTTTGCACACAAATAAAAAAAATTTTCTTTTTAACAACTATACTTTCGATTAATCGAAAAATAATCGGAGATTAATCGTATCAACAACCAATCAAGTTGTTGTAAGATGTTGCAAACTATTTAAAATTTGTAAGAACAACAATTAAAATAATAATTATTTAAATTTGCATTGTTTGTTGCATTTTTTTTTATGTATGCGTCCCCCGCTTATTTTTATGTACGTAATGAAAGTTTCCCTTTTAAAAACTTTTTTTTTTTAAAAAAAAAAAAAAAAAACAAAATTCATAATTATATGTATGAAAAAAAAAAAAAAAATATTATACGAAAAATTATAATTGTTCACGCTCTTAAAAAAAAAAAAAATAAAGAAAACTAAACTTTTGGTGTTAAATACAGAGTAGAGAGAGAGAGAAAGAAAAAAAATATATATACAAATCAACACGCAAAGGTCAAAGTTTTGGTTTCGCCACTGATTAAAAATATATATAAGATTAACCGAAGATCGACCGGTTAATCAGTTAACTTATGGCGTTTAAAAAAAAGAAAAACAACAAAACATAAAAACTTACCATAAATAATCGGGGAGGCGGGGGGGGCGGGGTGGCAGCGGTTTGAAACAAAAATCGTAGGAGGAGATTCGTAGAATGTGGTGAATGTAGATTTTCCACGAAGAAAATACCACCCCTATTTTTTCCAACCCCCTTTTTTCTTCGGAACACGTTTTCCCGCAAAACGTTATTACTACAGCAGTGACGTCATTAACGTCCACTTTTGACGTCATTGTTCGCATGTTAAATTATTCTAATTTTTTTTTAAAAAAGAATACGGTGTGCTCGTGTGGGAGGGATAAATTTTTTCCGCTGGAAAAAAAAAAGAAAAAAAGAAAATTTGTTATTTATGTTTATAAATAAAAGCTCCTTTATTTATTTATTTCTTTTCTTTTTTTTATTTAAATAAAATTTCGTAATAGACTGTCATGTATTAATTTAAAATATCGATTAGTAAAACAAAACGAAAAAAAAAAAAATTACGATAATTGTGACATAAGTTCTAGAAATAAAACAAAGTTATTTATAAATTTTTTATTAATTTATTTATTTTTTTCCACTCTCTCTCTCTCTCTCTCTCGCGGCCATTTTGTATGATCTAAATAGGAAATACGATAAATAAAAAAAAAAAAATAAATAAATTTTAAAATAGATAATTAATTAAATGATTCTGACATGATTTTTTTTTTTTGTTTAATTTTAGCTCGATTTGAAAATTTCACAAAATGACGAAACAATGACGATATTCTTTTCTGGATAAATAACATCGATCACCACCGAAAAATTATTATTATTATTAACGATTGTATTTAATTTTAATAAAATATTATTATTATTATTCATTGTTCAAATAAAAATTTTCCATCATCAATTTATTTTTTATGTTATTAATAACCAACTTTTATTAAATCGCAAATTTAACATTTGTCAAATCGTTCTTCTAACTTTTTTTTTTTTCCAAGGGGGGAAGGGGGGAGCTTTCGGTAAAAAAAATGACTTTAATTAATGCCTTGCTTTTTTATACATTTTAATAATTAACAAAATGTCCAAACACAATACGAGGGAGAATATTTAATAAATGTTAACGGTCATGCGTGGCTTTTGATTTTTAAAAAAAAAAAAAAAAAAAAAAACAGAAAAGTTAACACGTAACATTATTCTGGAAGGTTGTAGCATTGTTACGCTTATAAAAATAAAATTTTATATCGTATAAACAAAAGAAAAAAAAAGCGCATTTGGGCATTACACGACAGTACGTATTAATGTAATGAGGTATACTATTACAATCGTGCCAACATGCTAAATAAAAATTAAAAGTTTAAAAATTAGCAGAGGGGAGGAAAAAAGTAAAACAGGGGTCGCTTTTATACAATGTTAAAAATTTAACTTACCTACTGGAGTATAATAAAATTTTCCAAAAAAAAATAAATTCCATTTTTCTTGTTATCCCCACCAGAAAAAAAAAAAATTTTCTTTCTTTATTCCTTTTGCATAGTTACACCTTTCTTCGGACAACGCCTCATTTCACTTTCAAACCTTTTCAAGTCATCAAATAAATAATGCCTTATGTGTGATATGCCAAATAAAATATAAAAATTCCGTGCCTTTGTTTAAAATCTAAAAAAAAAAAATAAAAAAATTTAAATTAGTTTTTTTTTTTTTGGTTTTAAGTATTATTATTATTATTAAGTGAAAAAGTTTTTTTCAAAGTGTTCAGAGTGAAGGTTTGGAAAATTTTCCTTTTTTTTTTTTTTTTTTAAAATTTTAATTTTTATCTTTTAAACTTGTTTAGTTTTTTTTTTTTAAATAATTTAAGTTTAAAAATATTAAATTGTTTAAAAATTTTTTAAATTATTTTAAATAAGTTAATATTAATAATAATTAAATAAGTTTTTTTTTTTTTTGGAATCAAAATTTTCCCTTTTGGAAAAACTTTTGTAAACTAATTAAACTTTTTTTTCTTTTTTTAACTGAAAGTAATATTTAAAAAATAAGCCATTTTTATTATTATTTTTTTTTTTTAAACATTTTTTTTGTTATTATAATAAAACAATTTAAAAGGTAAAAAAAAAAAAAATTATTAAATTTTCTTTTTCATTTTTTTTCTTTTATGCCAAATTTAAAAACATTTTTTTTTGGAAAAAAATTCATATAAATTTTTTTTGTGTTTGAAAAAAAATATATATAAAAAAAAAAAATGACTTTAACAGTAAAGTAAAAAAAAAAAAAAAATTATTATTATTATTAAAATGAGAAACGTTTGCATATTAATAATACCATTTTTGCTGACCATGTGTTTGGCTGAATCCTACAGCGCTTTGACAGCATTTGGATCATCATCAACACAAAATCAGCAACAAAATTCAGATAAACATGGTTCAAGTAAGTCTAAAAAAAAAAATTAATTAATTAATAAATTATAATAATTTTAAAAATTAGGGATGTATTAAAAAAAATGGATGAAAATTTTCCATATATATGTACAAAAATAATTTTAAATAAATACAAAGCAATTTTATATTAAAAAAAAAAAATTGCTTATTTTGTCCCTGATAAAATAGAAGCATGAGTTTGGGTGGTTATGCTGCAAAAAACATTTTTTTAATAAATTTAGTTTGTTTTTGGTTTTTTTTTTTTATAAATAAAATTTTTGATTAGATTAATTTTTTTTGTGGAGTTTTTTTTGTTTTTTGTATAGTTTATAAAAAAATGTGTAAAAATTAAATTAATATTAAAAGGTTATAAAAATTGTAAAAATTGTGTAAATGAACATAATAAAATGGTTGTTGTTGTTGTTGTTGAATTAGGTTACGTGAATCGTAATATTTTTTTTTAACGTTCATAAAATATAGAAAAGAAAAATTATTATTTCCAGTAATAAGCATTTAACTTTTTGATGTGAATTATTATCGTGAACCATTACAGGGTAAGAAAAAAGAAAGAAAATTAGGCCAAAGATATAACGATAAAAAGCTTTATGCAAATCAAAAATGTTTTCGTGATTTTTCCAACTTCACAGGGTTGCTTGAACTTTTTCCTTTTTAGGGTTTTCATAAATATATATAACGTGTAGGAAAAGAGAGAGAGAGAGAGAGAGAAAAAAAAATATACGTTGAAAAAAAAAAAAAGAAAACGAGTTCGGTCATAAAGGATAAAAAAAAAAGTCATTATTATTATTATTAATTGTCGAGGCTGTCAATTATTAATGTTTGAGTTAATCGTGATAGTGATAAATAAAAACAATGGAAATGCATGTTAAGATTTAAAAAAATTTTTTTTTTTTTTGAAAAGTAGTTTAGTGAATTTTTTTCTTTGTCTGTGGGGATTCATTAGGGCGAACAAGAGAGTGTAAAACAGATGAAGAATGTGCCGCAATTCAGAATACGTCGTGTATGAGCGACCCTAGAGATTACAAGATGAGGTGCCTTTGCCGAGATAGTTCAGCTCCGATCAATGGAGCCTGTCCAAATCGCCCTAAAGGTACTGATTTGGTTGTACCTTTGTTGAAAAAAAAAAAATATTTATAAAAATGGCCATAAAAACAGCCGATGCTTATCGTTCCCACGATAATAATACACCCACACTTATACACCCATCCATACACACTTACACACACACACATATTGTTAAAATTTAAGGTTAACATCATCAACGATATTCTCGTAAAGCACCTAAAAATAAAATCATCCATAATAATACATAAATATTTTCTATTTATTAATTATTTTTGTTTCCAATTTATAAATAAAAACGTTTACAAAATGTTCGTTCGTTCGAATTTTACATAAAAACAAATTTTTTTTTTTTTTAATTTTTATATATGTTAAATTTGCACCTTTTGCTTTTGTTAAGAGCACCATTTTTTTTTTACACATACCAAGTGACATACTTTGGTGATGATTTTTTTTTTATGGTAGAATAATAAATTAAAATTTTTTTATAGAGCAATTTTTTTTTTTCAATTTTTTTTTAATAATCGCGAAAAACCGCAAATTTTTTGGGTAAAAACATAATTTATTCTAATCCTATTTAATAATTTAAAACAATTAATTAATAAATAATCGATCGATTAATAAATAATATATATTCATGATCGTACAACAAAAGTAATTGTTTGGTAAATTTATAATGAAACTTTTTAATATTAACAAAACTAATTATTTATTAAAGGGTATCGGAATAAATAAGGGAAAAATTCTTGAGGAAAAGTCAACTTGATCAGAATTTAATTTTTAAAAATTTATATAAACAAAAAAAAAAAAAAAACGAAATTTTTTTAAAATCGATTTCGCATTAAAATTAAACAGCATGAAATGTCAACATTGATAACATGTTCATGATTAAAAATTCTTAATAAAAATTAATCAGTTATCAAAGTTTACCCACATAAAAAGGTCATTAACGAAAATGAATTGCTGTGAAATTTATATGTTTTATGCAAATAATAATAATTATTTTTTCTCCATTAATATTTTTAATAATAAGCATAATGATAATATTATTAATGAATTAATTATTTTATGAATTAATTTTTAAAATATAAAAAAAATTTTTTTTTTGGGGCCTATTATATATATAGGGTACATGTTACCATTGTTTGAAATTGTTTAGGTATATGGAATAAAACCTAAAGCTAATTCGATATATATATTGAAATCATTTGAAATTTTATTATAGATTTTTTTTTACATAGCATATCATTTAGGTGAGCCTAATATTGAATAACAAATTTTTTTTGTGATCAAGTCATGGGTTCAAAAAATATTATCCATTAAAAAATAAAGATAAATAGTCGCTTAATAATTTTAAAAATTATTTTAAGTAATAAATTCATACAGTTTTCAAAGTTTAAAATGGTGTAAAAAGGATGATTGATCCCCATAAAAAAATAAATATCTTATTTTACCACCTTTATTTTACAGCTGTAGGGTCACCATGTAAAATGGACAGTGAATGTGTAGATGGCTCAGAATGTAAAACAATGAACATAACGATAAGTTCTTTCAAAACTTGCCAATGCAGAGAAGGATATATGAGTAGAGATGGATACTGCAGTAGTAAGTCTAACTCATAAGTAGTTGATATAATGTGTTTTATTTTGTTATATGATTTGCAGCATAACCATTCATTCAATCAATCAATAACTCATTAAAAAAATTTATTATATAATTGCTTCTTCTGTCGAAAACAAATTTTTTTTTTTTTTTAAATTTACTAATTTTTAATTTTTTTCTTTTTTTTTTTTTTTTTCTTTTTTTTCAGGTGCTCTTAACATTCAAGTACCATCCACATTCACTATTTTAATTATCACACTGGCACATTTAATAGCTAAAAGTTTGGGTATAGGTTTTTAAATCTCATCGAATTTTATGCAGAAATTTTTTAGGGTCTTTTTATCATTATTTATGTGATTTAGAAGTTTTAAAATTTTATTAATAATGTATCATTTCATCGCTTGTTTTAAAAAAGCATAATTTTAAATTTTTGTACGACATGTTTTATTTTAATTTTTAAAAAAAATTTATATTATGATTTATCGAGTAATTAACACTGCTAGGAGGTAATTAATAATTGCCTTAAATTTGCAATACATTTCATTTTTATCGAGTTTCACAAAAGCTAGAGCACATCATGCTTGAGTATATGTGTATTATATTTTTACCATATTATCACTCGAAATTAAACAAAAAAAAAAAAAAAAAAAATTCACCATATCATTACATTTTTTAAATTTTATAAAAACAGATTAATTTAATCATTTCAATCAATAGCTTCAGCTTATAAAAATATTTTTGATGAAAAAGGTTAAGTTTAATTTCATACATTTAAATGTTATTGCTAAATATATTAAAATTGCTATCAGTCGTTATTATTATCATTTTATCAAATTATTTTAACACAACACATAATTTATTAGTACAAACTATTGAATAGTATTATTATTATTACACATCACACATTTTTTTATAATAAAAAAAAAAAAAAAAAAAATTGTTATATTAATTTGTCATAAGTGATACCTTTTGTTAAGAACCAATGTCAGTAAGCAATTTTTTGATGTAATACTTACAAATAAATAATAAAAATTTTTTTTTTCAAATTTTAAATTGAAAAATGTTATTTATAAAAATTCTTACCGTAAATATTTTCCCAAAGATTAATCATATTTTACAAATGTCACTTAAAAAATTTTGTTAAAAAAAAAGTTATTCGTCTACTTTTATTGGCGGAATTAATAATTCAATAATACCAACTGTAAATTTTACCTCTCGATTCGCGCGGCGAAAATTGTCGCGACATTAAAAAAACCGATAAAATTTAACATTCTAGAAAATTCTTTTTATTTCTAACGGTTACAATGAAAAAAAAATTACATTTTTCGATGAATATTCCTTTTATTGCCATAAAAAGTACCATCTTACATAACTTAATGTACATAAATTAATAAAATTTTAAACTTTTTTTCTGTTACTTGTATTAAATTTTCGAAAAATTAAGTTTAAAGCAATTTATTTCATTTGTTCTCATGTCTTCTTTTCAATTGAAAAATTTTTTTTTCGTGAAAATTGATTTTATATAGTAATTTTTTTATGTCATGTTTTTTTTTTTTTTTGCAAATTTAACGTTAATATAAAAAATTAAGTATGATAATAAATTTGAAATTATCGAATTAATATCAAACACGAAAGAGGAAACATAAACTCCATTACTCGATTTTTAATTTATGTTTAAATATTCAAATTTTCTGCTAATAAAATTGAACGATTGCAATCAAAGAATGAAAAAAATTTACACACAAAATTATATTAAAAAAAAACTCTAATAAAATAAATTTTACGAACACGCATTTTTTTTTCAAAACAAAAAAAATTTTAATTAACGAATAATAATGTAGAATAATATCAAAAATTTTTTTTTTTTTTTTTTTTTTTGGGTGTTATGAAAGATTCTAAAAGTAAAACTACAGAAACGATGACCTAATTTTTAGTATAATAAAAGTTTATGGTAAAACTATTTAAGAATTGAATTATTTTTCAAAATTAAAAATTAAAGGAATTCTATTATTATTTAAGTCATATTTCATTGTGTGTTTAAAATAAGTCAGTGACCCTTTGCTGCTAATAATTTTGATGAATAATTATTAATTATATTAATTTAATTATAATTATATAAACTTTTTCTTTTTTTTTTTTTTCCTATTATACCTTATAATAATTAAAGTTAATGGAAGATTTTTATTTTCATAAATTATGGATTAAAACAAAATTTAATGATGCTTGTGTTATGTTTTGTTGTTTACATAAATTATAACAAGAGCATTCAATTAAACAGTAAACCCTGAGCCAAACTTTAAAATTTTTAATTTATTAATATGGTTTGTAAAAATTTTAATAGATGAAAGATTTTTCTTTCCCCCCCCCCACCCCACCCCACTATGAATTAAAAAAGTTTCAAAATTATGTTTCTAACAATATTTTTATAAAAAAATTAAACATCACTAAGAAGAAAGTAGTCTTGGAAAACAAAATTTAGTTTAAAGTTTTGTTTTTATGGTTTATTAAAATTATTGAAATGATGTTATTTATATTTAAAAGAAGAAAACATGTCTTTGATCAATTATATATGTGATTTCATATAAGGAAATTTCATCAAAGTGAATATAAAGCTCCAAAATATGGAGAAGAAAAAGAAAATAGTTATAGAATCAAATGAAAAATTTTTAAAAAAATTAAAAATAATTATTATCCAAAAAGGAGGTGGATAGAATAATAATGACAAACGAAAAAAATTTTTGTTTAATATGCAATATATAATAAACTAACGAGTTAGAAAACCCACACAAAATGACTAAAATGATTCACGCCAACTGAATGCTATTATTAAAATTATTTCGGAAAAATATTATTATTACAGCAAACCACGGAATTCTGTAGCGTATCTAATTCTACCATAGAATTAATTTTATTAATATTATTTTTTTTTTGGGGGGGGGGGGAGGTTTATCTCTTAGCGTTGTAAATTTTTTAGTAGTCGAAGATATTTTTGTAAAAAAAAAAAAAAAAAAAAGACAATTTAAATTAAATTGGCTATAACAGTCATTTTTCTTATGACCCCTAACAATAATGCAGTCTTTAATTAATTCAATGTCAAACAAAATATTTACGAATAAATTAAACCGTTGTCGATTACAAATAATTTAAATTTTCAAATAATTTTTATCGAAATTATATAAATTACTACAATATTATTAAAAATTTTTTTTAAAAAAATTAATGAAAAGATAAAATTGATGTTACCTTGGATACGTCGGTATAAATAAAATGTTTTTCTCTTTCTCTCTCTCTTAACTTTTAACATAGACCTAATTTTATGTTATTTATAAATTTGTGTTCTCAAATTAAATGTCACTTAATTTTATAAAAATTTACTTTTTTTCATTTCAACGCCATTAAAATAAACGAAAACTTAACGAGTCAAATCAGCATCTTTTTCATACCCGTATTAATTAACATAATAAGAAATCAAAGTAAACAAAATTTATGATCGTTTCCTGATTGACGTAGTATACTTCCGGTCGTTTGAATATAATTTCGATAACGCGCAAAATAATAGAACATTTTCGTAACGGACAAAAAATAAAAAATGATCGATATTGATTACGTAATTATAAAGGTTTTAGAATTTTTTTCATAATGAAAAATTTTCAACAATAAATAATATTAGGGTTCAACAATTACAAAAACAAAAACGTAATTTAACGATTAAATAAAAAAAAAAAAAAAAAAAAAAAAGATTTTTTCTTTGTCATTTTGAATAACGGTCATTGCAAGATGTGAGAAAGTTTTCAGTTGATTAATGGTTATTTAATTCTTTTTTTTTTCCTAACAAGAGTGAAAGTTTTTAATTAAAAGTAAGTTGATGTCAAAAATAACATAATAAAAGAAAGAAAAAGAATTACGGTGAGTTACATAAAAATCTTAATAACTTCCTTCATTTCAAACCATTGAGAATACTTTTCATATAAATTAAAAATTTTTTTAAATTTATATATATTTATATGGTATAGAATAAAAAAAAAAAAAAAGAAAAGACTGATACTAACATTTGTTAATAACATTCAATTGAATCAAAAGCAAAATTTTACATTAAAAAAAAAATAAGAAAAAAATTGGCAATGATAACAACTCTGCCTACATAAATTTCATTTTAAATAAAAAAAATAAGTAATAATAAAATTTACGCCTTAGTTACAATAGTTTTTTTTTTTTTTTCTCAATTAAAAAAATATAAAATAAACCACACACACTTATGTAAAAACAAAAAAAAAAAATTACAAATGACACTTTTGGAATAAATATATATAAATTTAAAATAATAATAATAATAAAATAAAAACAAAAAATGAGTTTATTGCAAAAAAAAAAAAAACCTTGTTATACATATAAACATTATTATTCTACAAAATTATTTTTATCTTTTCTCAAATGGTAGTCAATTGAAAAAAAAATTAATTTCAACATCATATCATAATATAAATAATTGCCCCCTTCCACCCCTACCCCCCATTTTTAAAACTATGATGTCTGTTTTATTTGTATCAAATGCAAAATCCAATAATATATATTTTAAAAAAATCAAAAATGATTTTCCAATTAGCACGACATATCAATCCAACCAAACATCACGTTTGTATATAAACAAAGAAAATTTTCTTTTTTTTTTTTTTTTTTTTAATTAGCATTTTAATTCGAGTGGAAAATTTTTTTCTTTTTTTTTTGTTATTTAAACAACACGTTCGATTCACGTGACTTCTGCTTATTTTTTTCTTAACATGATTTTAATTATTTCATTTAAATTTTATTTTATTTTTAATAATAATCGTTAAAACTACCCCTCATTCAATTAAATTCAAATCAAATTAATTAATTATTTTAATTAAATACACACAATTTTATTTCATTTTCCTGATGACAAAAACAAAAATAATAATTCGATGATGAGAATAATAATAATAATAATAATACATGTTGTTTTCATAACCATTAATAATTAATTTTATGAAAAAAAAAAAAAAAAAATTTAAATTAATTTACTCTCCATTCCAACCCCCCCCCTCTCTCTCTCTCTCTTTTTTAAAATTTAAATGACAATAATAATAATAATAATAATAATTCAATTATAACCAACCGTTAAAAAATTAATAATATAAATTCCACAAAATGGTTAAAAGCAAAATAATATTGATTAAATAATTTTTTTTTTTTTTTCTCAAAAAAATACATAAATATAATTAATAAATAATAATAGAAAAAAATTAATCGATACAGAAAAAAAATAATTTGTATTATTAAATAAAAAAAAAAAATAATAATAATAATAATCATTGTTAAATGTGTGAAGAGAATGTAGCTTATTATAATATTAGCTGTACAATAATATTTTTATGTTCCTTACAAAGAGGACAAAATTTATCGAGTAGTGAATTGTTTTATTACTTTTTTTTCATTTTTTTTCACTCCACAATAATGACAAAAACAAAAAACTGATCTTTTCATTTATTATTAATAAGAGATCAAAACATTTATATATAAATATGTAAAAACTGTATGATTCATGATTGAAAATTATTAAAATTAATTTTATTAAAAAAATTCTGTCGAAAACAATTTTTTTTTTTTTTTTTTCCCCATCTTTTTTTTACATATTGAAAAATCACACACAAGTTGAAATGTTCCAAAACTGATACTGAAAAGTATCAAAGTTCATTTCTGGCAAACATGTTTGTTTTTGTGTGTGTGTGTGTACACATATAAATATTATTTTGATTAAATGATTAATTTTTTTTTTTTTCATTATTTTTTATATTTATTTTTAGTCTATCACAAAACACACTGTATAAAAAAAAAAAAAAAAATGCCACATGTTTATTAATTAAATCACAATTATTTATAAATTATAAATATTATTGGCAATTTTAATTTTAATAAATTTTGTACAATTATTTTTTTAAAAAAAATTATTCAATGTTTAGGTTATAGTTTTGATTGTACGGTAAAAAAAAAAAAAATTGTCGTATGAAAACAGAATCTTTTTTTTTTTTTTTTAAGATGTATAATTAAAAAAAATTATTTTTTCTTTTTGAATAATGTTTTTTTTTTTTAAATTACCCCCATTTGTTATTTGTCAATTTTGTAAAGCTGAGAATGTGTGTGTGTGTGTAATATTAAAAAAAAAAAAAAGTCAATTCCACTACTGCTTTATCTGATATTAAAAATTGTTCATTGTTGGCAACTTAATTAGGCAATACATCGTATAAAATGTCTTTAGTATTTTTTGGTAAACTATCGGGAAATCTTATATCGAATGATATTATTAAATCACCTTTTTTGTTAGGTTCTTTTGAAAAAGGTAATCCTCTGCCAGTCAATTTTTTCATAGTCGTCGGTTTGATAATATCACTGGTAAGGTTAATGGGTACAATTTCCCCAGTAAGAGTTGGTACATCTACAACACACCCACATAAAGCTTCTTTTAATGAAACTTTTGCCACATACTTTATGTTACTACCATCTCTTTTAAAATACGGATGAGGTTTATCTCTTATAATAAACACTATATCAGCTGGAATTTTATTCGTTCCTTGATCTCCCTCTTTTTGAAATGTGATTTTTGTACCCGCTTTCCACCCGGGTTTAACATTTATTGTCAAAACTTTATCTTCTTTTTTACAACGACCATCTGCTTGTAAAACTTTTCTAGATATTTTCATTTTTTTAGTGCAGCCATTTAATATATCTTCTAATGACATGTAAAGATCATGTTCTATCGGAGGATCTTGTACTTTAGCTTTTTGTTTACTTGGACTTTCGTGAAAATTGAACGAGTGCGATCTAAAACCACCAGGGCCTGAAGCTCCTTGACGATTACCTGCGTTAAAACCGAAAAGATCATCCAAATCCATATCTTCATCATGGAAGAACATTCTATTACCACCTCCAGAGCCGCCAGCATCAAAAAATGATTGGAATGGACTTGAAGAACCGAAAAACTGTGCAAAAGTCGCTCTTGGATCTCCGTGAAAAGTGTATGTAAAATTTGTTCCAGGCCCTCCTTGACCACCTCCTGGAGCGCCACCTTTCAATCCTTCTTCTCCAAACTGATCGTAAATGTCTCTCTTTTTTTTATCACTTAATACTTCATAAGCTTCTGCGACTTCTTTAAATTTTTCTTCCGCTCCAGGAGATTTGTTTTTATCTGGATGATATCTTAATGCAAGCTTTCTGTATGATTTTTTTATTTCATCATCCGATGCACCTTTGGTAATACCAAGTATTTTATAATAATCCTTTCCCATCTCGAATGTTTCTAAAAAAATAAAAGTGAAACAAATAGCTGTAGAACAAAAAGCTTTCGTGATTCTAAACAATGTGATTCATACTGTAAATATTATTTCAAAATAAATATTAAATGTTATACTCATTCTAATATCACTCATTATCAATAATTGTCAACAATGCTACATCTTTAAATCAAGTCAATTTCATTATTTTTATTTTAACGTATTAAGCTCATGTTGCACTTAACCTTCCTTAATATCAAGGACCTGTTATGGTCATACGTTAATAGGGGAATCGACAAACATCCAATTTTAAGCTCCTCCCATTTTTACTACACATACGTTTTTATATAATATTTAATATTTAAAATTTATTAAATAATAATAATAATTGAAATTATTTTTCTAACGGATAAATATGTGTAAATGCTCATTAAATGCTATCTTATATATAATGCCTTAAATAGAAATGGCAGTGACAGGACGCAAATTTAAGGTCAATACCTTGATTATTTTTCAATTACTACATTCAAATGCATTTACTTATGTTGCATATAAACTATATTTAAACAAATTTAATATATTAAACCATTGCTTAAACATAAAACAGGGCAAAAAAACCTGGGTTGGTGTGACCTCCTTAATATTAAATTTATCCTTCTTATTTTAAAATGTAAACAACATTTATTAAATCAACAGTGATATACGCACATTTAAACCAAATATTTCCTTTATTTCCGTTTATTTTCTTCTAATTAAAATAAAACACTATATATGTATATCTAATAATATAATTAAAAATTGCAAAGAGAAATTTTAACAGAAAATCACAACTTTAACAATTACTACATGGACTAATCCCGTATGCAGCTACTACGTGAGGTTATATAGTAAGATTACTGAATTTACTGAATCTTGCTAGAATGTTCGAGAATGAATCAAAGTATCTTCCGCTGTGAAATTCAGTTTTACGCTTACATTCAATAAAAATAATGTTTAGCTTATGAAAGGTGACATTGATGATTTAAATACTGATCAAGCTAGTGACTTAATAAAAAAATAATAATAATCATTAACTGTTAAATTTAAATTTAATTATTTTTTTAATTAAATTATTAAAAATTAATTATAATTTTATTATTATTATTATAAACTTTTAAATGTAAATAAAAAAAAAATATTTTTAAAAAATTTTATTTCATTCGGTGGCTTGATTGATGTTAAAGTCTTATATTCATACATGTTACGATAAAGATTTTCAAATTTTTAAATGAATAATCCCCATAGATTATTATTTTAGTCATTAATTATTTTACGAACAATAAAATTTAAATGATGTCACGTCAAAAGGCTAAAACTTTCTATTATCGTCACGAATAAAAGGAAATTTGATGGGAGAGAAATAATTTTAAAGATGGTGATTTTTAAAGTATTCATCATCATTAGAGGGGGGGGGGGGAAAAAACAAAATTTTCAAATTATTTTTTCTATAAAAAGAAAAAATTCTTTTGCATATATATATATTTTATTAAATGTATAATACTACAATTGATCATCCAAATATTATATCATAGTTAAATAATAATAAATCATCAAATTTAAACTATGTTTTCTATATATATAAAAAAAAAAAAAAAAATAATAATAATAATTTTTAATGTCTAAATTACAAACAAATCATTTCGTAATCCAACACTATCTTTTTTTTTTGAAAACCACTGTGCTAACAGTTTTACCAGTTTTTCCACCAAATTTAAAAACTGGAGCTGGAATATTTTCTAATACTTCGAAATCTAAAAAAAATAAAACAAATTTTTATTAAAATATTATTTTTAAATGTCGAGAGTTGCATTACAATTCTGAATTTAAAGTTAAAAAACATTACTGTTAAAATGCTGAGTTAATTCGACATCAGTCCAATTGCAAGAAGTAATAATGAGTAATCCATCATCTTCTAATAACTCACTACTATTTTTTATATATGAAAGTCTTTTGGATTTTGCATCTTCTGGATCAAGACTAATCGCATCATAAGTTCCCTTGTCCAAGCACACTTTATATTTTGATTCGAAAACATCATCGACAATGTTTTTGACGAAAAAATTAACTGAACACTGTTCTTTATCACATACTGCTTTAGCTAAATCTATTGCATTCGATGAATAGTCAATACCATGCAAATTAGTAAAACCTAATTTACTTAATTCAATTAAAAGCATTCCATTACCACAACCTGAAAAATAAAACGAAAAAATTTTACATTTTTAACAATACAGTTTATCGTAATTTTAAATTATTTTTAAAAGAATCGTAACAATAATAACAACAATTTGGAAATATATTGTTTTCAACATAAAAACAAAAACACAAACAAACCTAAATCGATAATGGAATCATCTTTTTTTATTAAGCTGCTTTCATTTATCCAATTAACAATTCTTTTTGAAGTTTCCAATCCGAACCAAATTTCTCCAACATCTCCATGATCATAAAAATTTTCAATTTCTTCATGGTATAAATTATTCCAACTAAAAAAAAAAGTAAATTAAACATATATTTTAATTAATTAAAAATAAAAGATATATTTTTAATTATTTACATAGAAGAAACGAAAGGGAAAGGGGGGGGGAAAGCTACATAATTTTTCACTATAATAATGCACTCTAGTAACTCACAATTCGTATGATCCAAGTATGGACGAATTTAATTCTTCTTCCATATTTAATTATTATTTTAAAAATACAAAAAAATTAAATTCAAATAATTATTTTACACAATGATTGCATTTATTTTATTTAATTATATTAAAATATATAAAGTTATAAACTTGTAATTTATAACCTTAAAATAAAAAAAAAAAAAAAACTTGATAAACAAAATTCTAAACAAGTTGCGTTAAAAAAAAAAAAAAACCACAAATTATTTTTTAAAATAAGTAAAATGCATAATTTTTTTTTTTTTTAAATGATAAATAATATCACTTTTAAATAAATTTAAATATTTTTTTTTTATTTGATATTTTTTTTTTTTTTTAAAAAAATGCTAAAAATAAAGGTAGTAGCTTGTTTTTGTAGCCGAACATTTACATATATACACAATTAAAACGAGATCATAGAATATTATAAACATGTTTCCGGTAAAAATGTTAATTTCAATATGTTTTTAATGTTAATTTTTATTAATGTATATTTATATTATTATTTAAATAAATATATTTTATTATTTTGTTGTTTTATTGAATCAATTTAATTATATTTGTTCGCTAATAAGGTGGTAATAATAAAATGAGAGATTTAATATTTACACTCACCATTTTAATTTACTAAAATTCCAAATCCAAGTTAGGTTAAAAACTAACACCTAAAATTTTTTTTTAAAAATCATCAAAAAAATTGTTGGAGGAATGCAATACAACAAATAAAAGGAATAAAAAAACAAATTAATATTTTTTTTTAATATAAAATATATTTATTTATTTATAATTAGAATAAAAAAAAATCTGAGAAATTATAAATTTCACAATTTGTCGGAATTCACTCATTTTAATATAAGTTAGAAAGATTTTTTTTAAAATTATTTTATTTCTGGTTTCATGGCAGCTATTGTGTAATCGAGAAAATGTAAATCTTGCAATAATCCTGTTAATCTTTTATAATGTCTTTCTGTGTAAGGTAAAACCTCTTCAACAACAGAAGGTAATTTGGGTAAAATTAATTCATTGCAAGCTATTTCTTCTAAAAGAATAGAAAAAACCGTTTGTGCAGCATCACAATTTTTCGAATTTGAATTCCAAATAGATGCACACTCTAAAAGTTTTTCTTTGTCTGCTTGAGTCAAGTTTTTTAAAGTGGTCTTCAATTCAATTTGATCACTTTTAACTATCAGGTCTAAAAAATAAATTTATGTTTATTTTTTTTTACAAAATTAAACTTGAAAGGGATTAAATTCAAAAAATTTATGATTCACTGACCTTTTATGATTGTCAAAACTTTAAAGGGCTTATCCAAAGACAGTGCCAAGCCTAGAGCTGCAAATAATTTATTATTATGTAATAAATTTGTTAAAAGTTGTTCGTCGGCCATTATTTTTTCTTGAGCTTTTAAAGCTTCTTCTCTTTTTTCTTGAGTCGAATCTACCCAAATAATTAACAATGAATCTGAACCTCCGGTAACAAAATTCTTTTCATCAGCACTCACTGAAATTTAATAAAATTTATAAATTAGTATTCAAGTAAAGTTAATTTAAAAAATTTTATAATATAAAATTTACTATTTAATAATTGAAAATAATAGTTTTAAATGATTACCAGCCAAAGACCAAATTTGTCCTTCATGTTCGTTAAATGTGCCTGCACATTCACCACTTTTAATGTTCCACAATTTGACCAAACCATCTCCGCTTGTTGAAAGAATTTGCATGCCTCTGGTCACAAATTCAGCTCTTAAAACTGATGCATCATGGCCTTCGAATGTTTTAAGACAGTTTAAGTCAGTTACAGACCATATTTTGATAGTTGTATCTGCTGATGAAGATAATAAAATTTGATCAACAGGCGAAAATCGAACGCACCATACTCCCCGACGATGCCCCGATAAAGTTCCAATAAAAGCTAAGTCTTCAGCTTGCCAAAGCTAAAAAAACAGCATTACACACTTAACAATTTTCGAAATCAATAACAATCACAATCAGTAAATATTAATTTTTTTTACTTTAATAGTCTTGTCTTGGCTGCCTGTTGCAAGTATTTTGTCATTTTGAGAAACGGTTACAGTATTTATATCTTTCTTGTGAGCCATTTCTGTTCCTTTTACTGATAATTTATAATCTGGCATCTGCAATTTGCCACTACTTTTTGACTGCTGAATTGTCCATAATTTTAATGTTGTATCCTGACTCGTAGAGAAAAAAAAATCAGCTGTCATTTGACTCATACAAACAGCTGAAATCGAAGCTGTGTGCCTGCAAGCAGATGCAAGACAAGTCATTTTCTGGCTAGCAGTATCTAATTCCCATAGTCGAACAGAATTATCCTAAAATATTTTCAAGTTAGGAAATTGTAAAAAATACAAATAAAATAAAACTTACAAATAATTTTAGAAATATTTTAAAGAATTTGAAATTCAATTCTTACCTTTCCACCAGATATCATCCAACAATTATTAACAAAAGATACTGATAATGTGAGAACTAAATCTGTGTGTCCCTTTAAAAGTAGACATCCCATACTTTTAACATTGTATAATTTAATGTCGCAACTGTTTGTTGCTACCGCTACATGAGAATCATTGGGACCAATAAATACAACATCTAAAATTTCATCTGTAAATCCTACCATCTGAAATTTTCATTAAATTACCAATTAAAAGGAAATTCACAATATTTAAAATATAAATTTGAAAAATAACTTGAATAGAAATGAAACCAACTTGTTTAATACATTCGAAATTATCAGCCTTGTGGAAAATTATGTTATGATCTGCTGTGATTACAGCAAAAGAATTTTTGAATGAATTATATATTAATTGAGTGATAGCCAATCCCCCTTTTTCAGTTGCTTTAGAAACTAATGAATTTGTTTGAGAGTATAATTCTTTCCCAGCCTTCATGTCAATTATTCTAATTACACCTGCAAATGAATGACGTTGTAAAAATAACATGTTATAATATTAAAATTATATAAATAAATTTAAATAATTAGATACATCACCTTTCTCTCCACCTGTTGCCACATATATACCTCCATTTACAACACCTATAGAGGGTAATTCTATTTTCGATGGCAAGCAAACAACATCTTCTATGCTTTCGAAAACAGGAAAAGTTTTTACATTTGTTTTCGTGGTCAAATCCCAAAGAATTATAACATTATCTCTGGCAGAACTAGCCATATGCTTGCCATCATTACAAAATGATATTGAAGTTACTTTATTGTAATGTCCAGACAATTGAAAAATCAATTCATTTTTTCCTAAGCACCAACAACTAATTTTAGAATCATCACCACAACCAAAAACTACAGATTTTCCTTCTAGTTCATGAAATTTAACTAAACTGAATAAACAGTAAATTGTTTTGTTAAAAATTTTTTTGACAAAAAAAAATTAGTTATAAATTAAAATTAACAAATTTTTTTTACCTTATAACTCCTGTTGCACCTTTTAATGCATGTGTACAGGAATGGTGAATCAAATCCCATATTCTTATAATAGAATCTGAACCACCACTGGCTAGTTTTTCTTCGTCTTTAATATCTAAATCGGCAACAGGTCCTCTGTGAATATGCTTCCACTGCTTTAATAAAGTTCCATCTGTAAATAAATTTTAAATCTAAAACTTTTGTTTCACATTATAATTCACTAATCATAAAATTTGTTTAAAAATTATATTACCTTTAACTTGCCAATATTTAAATAAACCACTTTTACATGAGGAAACAATTTTTGACCCATCGTTAGTGATTGCGAAAGAATAAATTAAGTCAGAATCTTCTCCTTCATCCCCGATAACTAATTTTTTTTTTCCAGATTCTATATCTATGACATTAATGGCACCTGAATTAGGGCAAAATATTACTGAACCATCTTTAGTCCATTTTACTTTTCCAGCAGAAAAAAAAGCACCGTGTTTTGATTCTACAGATAGCCTAAAATAAATTTACATTTTAAGAATTTTACTACTAAAAGTTAAATAAATCATATTAAAGAGTTTTTATAATATAATATTTAAATAAATCATGTAATATTTCTTATAATACTTTATTCAAATGAATGCAACACTGTCAAGTAAAGATAAATTATGTTATAATTTTATGTTAAAATTTTATTAATTCTTTTAAAACAAATCTGTTTTATAAATATTAATATTTTTATTAAGTAGAAACTTACGATTCTTTTAAATTACTTCTAGAAATCATTTTACTTGTCAGATCATAATTTTCAAGTAGTAGGATTTACATAAACAATCAATCCACGTGCTTGCAACCAAAACACAGCCTTCTAAATTAAAAATTTAGGTTTATTAGAATTAATAGTATGTTCGTTAAAAACTAAATGATAACTTTTTTTATTAACAAAAAAAATTTTTTATATCATTTTTCTTCGGTTAAATTTAACGTAATTATTCATTTCAATTCAAATATTTAAATAATTTACCTACTTTATTTATTTTTATACAATAATAAAGGTTGAGCGATTATACACAAATGAATAAAAATTTATTTGCAATTTTTTTTTTTTTTATTAAAATAAATTAATTTTCACTTAATATGCAACTTTTTTTCTTTTTTAAATTTATATAATTACAATTAATTTTAATTCATACTACTTCACAACAAAACGAAAAAAAAAAAAAAATTTTTGTCAAATCTGAGTTAATTATTCAGTAATATATTTTAAAAAAAAAAAAAAGAATTTCATTTATTTAATAATCATTTTTTTTTTTTTTTTTTATTGAAAGAAAAAATATTGAAGTATTATTTTTACAAATGTTAAAATTTTTAGTTTTTAAGATGAAGACATTCTTTCTTCTGCTCGAGCTTTCATTCTGGTAATAAATGCTTGTCCTTTACTTTTTCTAAAATTTTCATACGGGTCGTGAAGATTGACTCCCACTCCTTTATACTGATCAACTTTATCTCTGACTTCTCCTCCTGCTATTGGAGCTTCGATACCCTGTTCCTTGGAACCAAGACCCGCTCCACTCCATCCCATTTTCTTAAGCATTTGATGTCCTTTGTTCGATTCGTCAAGATGTTGTTCAAGAGGTTTACCATAATTAGAACCAGAAAAACTAGGAGGCGTAGGACTTCTATTTCTCGAAGGTGGACTTATTGATCTAGACCTTGATCTGGATCTTTTATAAGACCTACTCGATGCAGATCTTCTAGGTGATTTTTTACCATTTGAGCTTCTATGATGTCTAACTGGAGAACGAGAACTTGACTTTGACCTATCCCTTTCCCTATCTTTTTCTCTTTCTCTTGATTTACTTCTACTCTTACTTCTATATCGTTTCTTTTTCGGTGATCTGCTCCTAGATTTTTCTCGTTTTATCGGCGTGGGACTCCGTGATTTTTCCCTTAAACCATCTTGAATTTCTTCCTCTTTTTTCTTTTTCGCTGCATTTTTTGCCTTGTAATATTCGTATAAACCTAATTTTTCCCAGCCATCAGCATCTAAAATAAGTCTTTCCCTCGTGTTGGAATTGTTTCTCTGATAAAATGCTTCAACAGCTTGAATAAGTCTTTCACTTGGCGGTACAGCAGGTGGCAGTCTAATTTTATCAGGATCAATGGGTTTATAATTAGAATCGTCTAATTTAATCAATGGAACCATAAGTCCTGCTGGCAATTCAAAATAAGGAACTGACGGAATTAAATCATCCATAACATTTTCTTTAGTGGGAAATCCGGGCGGAGGTTTACTAAAATCTGGTATTAAATCTGGAGGTAGATGTTGAAACATAGTTGGAGGAGGTTGACTAAAATTAACATTATCAATAGGAAGAGGGATTCTATTGGGAATTAAAAGAGGAGGCGGTGCATCAAATTTCATTGGAATATTAACCTCGCTGCTTAGTGATTGAGAATCTTGTAGATTAGGAGGTGGTTGTGACATAACTGGAGGTTGATTAGAAAGATTATGATCCATAACATTTGGCATCATAGAAACTTGATTTAAAGAATTTTGTTGAACTTGAAATTGATTTTGAACTTCGTTGTTTTGTTCAAACTGTATTTTCTGCGATTCGAGATTTTGAATTTGCTGTAAAGCATGATTTACGAATGCTTGATGTTGAGATTGGTAATTTTCAAATGATGCTTTTGTGGCTAAAGTTACCGAGTTTACAATGTTGACATTTTGAGAAATCAAATTGGCCTGGTACTCAGCCCAACTTTTTTCCGGCGTTTTCAATTTTGCAATAATTTCTTTACTAAAATAATTATTTTTAACTTCCCATAAATTAATGAGTTTGTTTAATTTGGCTTTATGTTCCTCAGTTATGCTTACGGATGAACTGCAAAACATAGGAACAACTACTTCTTCTAAAGATTTTTTCAAGCCCTCTGCATTTTTTCTCACACAATGATGCATCACATCATTAATTAAATAAATTATGTGCAATTTTTGTGAAAATGGAGCCCCAGGAGCGATGACTTTACTGAGTAAATATTGAGAAACTATCTGATGAGCTTCAGGAGTGTTTTTACTAAGTATCCAAGCTTTCCCTGATGAAATTGAGTCTTTTGTACATGAATCAATAATAGGTTGTAATATAGCATCAAAATCTTGTAAGTTGACATTATGGTCTGCCGCTCTTTTAGACAAAGATTCAGCTTGGGTTTTTCTAATAGCTTCTTCAATTTGAGCTTGTTGATTTTGCAATAAAACTGCATGTTGGGCAGCCAAATTCTGTTCACTTTGAGTAATTTGTTGATTTAATGCACTTTGTTGTTCTATTATACTGTTTAAAGTCAATTGCCCACTATTAGAAACTGCTGCCTGTTGCTGATGATTAACTAACCACTGAGTTGCAGATGCTGCAGCATTAATAATCTGCAATGGAGTAGGGTTACTTGGTGTTGCACTATTATTTAAGCCTTGACCAGCAAAAGAAGTTTGAGATCCTATCAGTGCTAATCCAGGTTGATTATTAGCTGCACCTGGTAATGGAGGTTGAGTAGACATTTGCTGAATGCTTTCTCTTGCAGCTTTAGCTTTTAATATCGCCTGCTCTGTAGTTACTTTATACTGATAATAATTAAAATGTTCTCCACCAAACAAAAAACTGAATTTCGGATTTCCTTTTTGTTTATTTTTTGTCATTTGCTCAAATTCTGGTCCATTTCTAGCTACAAACTGAGCTAGTTTGTCAATAATGTTGCGTAATTCAACATCATTAGGTGGCTGCGGTAAATCCATAATTATTTTTAATTACTAAACCTAATGTGTATTTTAAGAAATTTGTACTAAATTATGAATTGCCACCCGCTACTAACAAGCAACGGGTGACAGTGTATTTAGAATTGAAGAAAAGCGATAAAGTTCTCCTTCCTGAAAAAAAAATAAATAATAAAATTAGCATGCACAAATGTTTCGATCTTTAATACCTTATCAAAAATTGCTACCATTACACTCCTACATAAATTTATTTAAATTTCATAAATTTTTTTTCCTTAGTAGTTTTACAGTAAATATAATTTTTAATCCAGAAAATGATACTCACAAATTTATAATCACTTGATTGTACAGTTAGAAATAAAATAAAAAAATTCACTGCAGCTTTTGTAATTTTCATTCAATAAGTATCTGTTTTCTACAGCACTGTACGAGGTTAGTACACCTACAACAGAGATAAAATAAATCTTCTGATAAAATATAAAAAAATGATTATTTCATTTAAAAGTTCATTTAGCAAGAACGATTTTTAATTTTAGAACTAATATAAAATTTATATATTTATTAAATTGAATTTATTATTTGAAAAACCACCTTTTTTTCCTTTTATTATTCCGGTAACTGCAATTAATTCAAATATGATATCCTATAACAATTACTTGAAAATTATAAAAGGAAACATTACACGGCAAATAAAAATTTACGAAAAACGTAGAAAATTTCAATTGACTATTTTATTAAACATTATCTCAAAATAAGGGATAACTAGAAAAAAATGATATATTATGTTTGCCAATCCTCCATATTATTAACACCATGATGGCGGATAAATGGCGTCCAACAATCCCTCCTATACGTTTCAGTTATAAACCCTAACCGAATCACATCAATTAAAAAACTAATAAGATATTATCATTTTTCATTTGCTTACTAATAAGTAGTTTTTAAATTATATTAAATCCATTATAAAAAAACTCTTTTACCAAAATAATAAAGAAAATTTAATTTATTTATTCATACCTTTAAATTGATTTATCAACATTTTAAAGCCTTATAATTATTGATGACCAATTTTTAGCTACCCTAATATTAAAAAAAAACTTATGGAAACCTAAAATAAATTATAATAATAATTGTAATTGATAATAACATGAAAAAGTGACTCAATTTAATGTATTAAAAGGAAAAAAAATTAACAATTTCTTTCAGAGGAATCAATACAAATAATTTTTTGTTAAGAATTTTCATTGATTATAATTAAAAATGTGTTAAAGCAATTTTATATATTTAAAAAGCATAAAAATAATAAATTTTATATTAAAAAATGAAATTACATTCAATATTTTTCTTATAGATAACAATTTTAAAATAATTTTTAATTCGAAGAAGAAACAAGTTAAAAAATAAAGATACAACTAATTTTTTTTTTGTAAAAAATTTTTTGCCAGCAATATTTTTTACTTAACATTTATTTGAAACGTTTAACCTAAAATTTAAGTAATTTCTTCAAAATTTTTTGAGTCTTTAAAATTATAAAAAAAAATACATATTGTTTCGAACAGCAGCTAACATAATAAAATTCAGTTATTACTACTTACTTAATGAAATAAAGAATCGGAAAAAAAAAACCAACACCTCGGTTAGTAAATTTCACTTAAATTAGTTTTGGTAGTTAAATAACTAAAATTAATAATGAATGAAAGGAAAATCAATAAAAAACAGTAGAAACAAAATCTTCAATAAGTTATTTTTCCAAATTTCAATATATTGAATCTTTCACTGTAATAAAAGAATTATTATGTCAAGTTTTACTTATTTTTTAACCTTTTTCTCTGTTGGTTTTCCTTGGCTGACTTTCTTAGGGGTTTCTTTCTTTTTGTCTCCGGGTTTGGCGGCTTGTGGCTTTGCTTTTGCAGTTTTCGATTTAAGATCTTTCTTAGATTTGTCATCAAGCTTTTTCTTTCCAGCCGATTTAGATTCTTCTTTAGCCTTTCTTTTGGCAGCTTTTTCTAAAGCTTCAGCCTTTTTCTTTGCAGCCGCTTCTTTAGCCTCAGCTTTAAGTTTAGCAGCTCTAGCTTTAGCTTCAGCTTTTTGCTTAATACCCAATTCCTTGTTCTTTTGTTTTATTTTAATTAACTTAAGACTCCTAGCTACCCTAACTTTTCTAGCTAATGTTTTGGCCTTGGCAATTTTAGTTCTAAGTGCTATGGCCTTGGGAGTGTTCTTCTTGGGAATAACCTTTTTAGATTTCTTAGATTTCAGCAACCTTCTAACTGTTCTTTTCTCAATTCGTTCCTTTTTAACATCAACTTTTTCCTCTTTGCCTTTCTTATCCTTGTCAACTTTCTTGGGCTTTTGAGATTTTTTCAATTCTCTGTCCAATTTAATTTTCTTTATCTTTTCCAATTTTTCCCATCTCCTCTTCATCTTAGCAGCTTTAACTCTCTTCTTATTAAGGGCTGAAGCCTTAATTGCAGCTTTCCTGGCTTGAATAACCTTCAAATATTTAGGTATGATCTTTCCTTTGTCAGCGATTCTCTGTTTTCTTAATAATTTAGCTTTTCTTATATTAGCTCCACGGTTTTGTCTTGCCTTTTCAGCAACAGATAATTTCTTCACACCTTTTTCTTTAGCAACCTTAGCATCTTTAGCAGGTTCTTTCTTGGGATCTTTGTCACCAGCTTTGGTCTTGCCCATTTTTTCAGCAAGACCACGTTTTTTCTCCAATAATGCTGCTCTACGTTTTTCACGTTTTTCTTTAAACATAGCTCTTCTTTCTCTCATTCGTTTTTGAGCCATCAAAATACCTTCTCTCTTAAGGACAGCAGCAAATGGGTTCAATTTAAGCATGGCTCTAGTGTTAGTAAGAGGATTGAGTTTCTTAACAGCTCGTTTAACTCCTTTCTTGGGTTTTCTCAAAACATTCAAAATTTCTTCGGCCTTCATTAATCTAGTTAAATCTGTGTTTGACATTTTAGGCTGAGGCAAATTATAGCCCTTTTTCATTTTTGATGCTTTATTCCATGAACCGTAAAGAGCATTCAAAGTTTTAAAAGCTGACTCTGTCCAAATGACAAATCTTCCGACATGGCCTCCAGGAGCAACTTTAAGTAAATCCAATTTAGAAACATTAATAAGGTCAACTCCAGGAATGTTTCTAAAAGCTCTTCTGATTCCTTGATTTTTGGAATATACAATTAGGGGACCACGTCTTTGAATACGTCTTCTGTTACGCATTTTACCTGAAATAAATTTGCAATTACAAATTGGAATTCAATTATAATGAAATTACTATTTTATAGAAACTCTTAAACAATAATTTTTTTCTTTTTTCTTTTACCTTTTCCGGCTCTAAATCTTCTAGATTTGTAAACTTTTTCAATATCTTTCCATGCTTTGATACGCCGAAGAAAAACTACGGCTTGTTTGGTCTTGGTATACTCCTGGATCTTATCAGAGATAACCAAGGGTAATTCAGGAATCTCATTAATCATATGTCCCTTGCTCATTACCAAAGCTGGAACTCCAGATGCAGCTAATGCAGATACCATTGCATACCTACGTTGATTAAGATTAATCTTTCTGTGCCAACGGCGCCATGGTTTTGTTGGAGATGCCATACGACCACCTCGACACATATTTCCGAACGCTCCTTGACCGGAGCGATGAGTACCTCCTCCTCTGACACGGGGAATACGAGCTACAGCTCTTCCTGTTCCCCATGATTCTGCACTAGTTTGATGGCCTGCCTTTTCGCTCACGCAATATGGTTGGCGTTTATTCTTGGCCATCTGATCATGAACAAAATTTACAACATCCGGACGTATGGGAGCTTTAAACACCGATGGAAGCACAATCGTCGTTCCGGTTGATTCATTTTTATCATTATAAACTGTTACAAGCGGTCGCGCGACAGATAAAGCCATTTTTATTTTATTAAATTCACTTCATCAGACACGTGCTGTTTTCCCTACTAGTAAGACAGGAAATTAATGAATCGAGTTGGCTACTTTACTAATGTCGACAATTTGAACCGAACTGCCAACATTAGAAAAAAAAAATTACTCTATGACATATTTATTTGAGTTTGCCATTGTTTAAGTTGTCATAAATTTTAGAAAGTAAGTAATTCTATATTTTTATTTTTAGTGAAAAATAAATTTAAATGACTTACAGTTCGTAAAATTTATTTTAAAAAATATTTTGCATACACAGTAAGTTTCCATTTACACTTATAGTTTACTAATAGTTATAAATAATGTAGAAATTACAGGGGAACAATTTAAGAAACAATCATTAAAATTTATTAATATGGTTTTAAAAATAAATACAATACAATGATTAAAATGCCTAATTGTAAATTTTGTGGGTGTGTGTCAATATAAAAAAAAAAAACAAAATGTAATTTTAAATTTGAAAATAATTCGTTTTTAGAAATCTTCCTTTTTTGAATTACTCGGATTTGTGAAAGGCGCGACGAGAATATCATTTGTAACAAATTTTAAATTTACTTTTTTTTTTATCGAAAGTTTGTCCAATGTTCTCAGAAGAGTAAGATAGTTTGTTACATTTAACTCATCATCAGATGAAAATAATTGTTTAATACTTCTTTCTTTAGACTCATTTTCAGGAATTGTAAGCCACATTTTTTCTAATCTTGACATTACATGTTGAAATGAAGTCAGTTCTTTACTAAAAATTTAAAAAAACAATAATTTCAATCATGTCTTTTTTTTTAAAAGTATTTTTAAAGTTTAATTTATCACCTTGGTGGATTTTTCTCAGATGTGTAAAACATTGGAGAATCATTTCTTTTTGAATTCATATCTTTATTAATTTGAAAATCACCTTCAAACATTTTTTTAGGAGACATTACATTAATTACTTCATTATCAAACAGTTTAATATTGGGCTGACTAATTTTCAGAATTGATAAGCTTATATTGTTATTATTAGTTACATTTTTCTGTCCAACTAAATCTAAATATTTATTTAAATTACTTAAGCTTTGTAAATGAGTAAAATAATTTGATAATTATATGAATATGCTTATTGAAATCACCATTTTGATCAATTTCCTCATTTATTTTACTTTTGTCTATGTTTATATCTGATAAATGTCCTCTTGTCGGAAATGATTGCCGTCTTCCAAAGCTTATTTTATGTTCTGTAAAGGCTAAACAATTTTAAATTCTGTTTTTTTAATTTTAAAAAAAAAAAATATGCAAAATATTTACCTATTGAATCATGTTGCAAAACATTTGTTTCATGCATCTCGTTTCTTTCTCGTCTACAATCATTATTTATTTATTAACTTATTTATTATAAACAAAAATATATTCCTAAATTTAAAAAAATAATATTAAATAACTTTTACCCTATTCCAGTGTAATTAAAACTTTCATGTGGTTTCTAAAAAAAAAAAAAATGTATATTTTAGTTTCTGATTATGATTAATGCAAATCAATAAAATTTAATATCGTCTTACTTTTTCTGTTAAGAGATTCCTTTTAAATAAGATATCTAATTCTGAAATGAAATTTTAAATTTAAAAAAGATTAGGTAATATTTACTACATTGTTTTTTTTTTTTTTTTAAAAAATTAATTAAAGTTCATTATTTCTTACTCGAGCTTTTTTTAGAATGATTAAACGAATATCTGTAACTTGAATTGTTCATTAAATGTGTAACGGACATTGATTGTAAAATATTCGGTGGACCTTCAAAAACCTAAAACTTTTTTATTAGAAATATTTTCATAGAATATAGAATTTGAATTTTGTGAAAATAGTTTTGTGTGATTACTTGTATTCTTTCATTTATAATATTTCTGTTTAATTGTAAAGCTCTAAATGCATAATTGGGAATTGTGGTTTTCTCATCAACGCAAGTGTATTTTTTTCTTTTTCTTACAATTCTATAATCTTTTGGTGTTGGTAAATTATTAAAAAAATTTTCTTCCTAAAACACCATTAATACATATAAATAAAAAAATAAAGCTTTCAATTTATAAAAAAAAAAAAAATATTTAAGAAAGATTTTAATTTATTTACCTCTAAATAATTAGGACTTGTATCTGCAAAAAAATAAATAAGTTTGTTTAATTAAGAGAATAATGGCAATAAGTAAATTTTGAAATGTTTTTTATAAAAACTCGATAAGAGAAATACATCTTACTCAAAGTGTCAAAATTATTAAGTAGTTGTCGGGCCTCCCAAAAATTTCCATTTTGTATTTGGTTTTCGATTATATTATTCCTTGTGATATCATTTTTTGGTGAATTGGGATTTGATAGACTTGCACTTTTAGGTTCACTTATATCTGCAATCACTAATTTACTATTTAAACTATCTGATAAATCAAATATTTCTCGTTGCAGATTATCTGTTAAGTTTTCTATTGTTTTATGAAAAGTAGGATTTTCCGTTTCGTTAATTGATTTTAAATAACTTTGTAAGTTTAATGGCTCCGTTTCAATAAAAACATCTCTAATTTCAGTTTTATTATCAAAATTATCAGTTGCTTCTTGCAGTAAAGTTTCTATTTGTGTGTCACTTTAAAAAAAAACAAAAATTACTAAATGTAAAAAAAAAAAAAAACAAAATGTTTAGATTTTATCTTACTTTATTACATCAGGTGACAAATCCTCTGACTTCTTGTTGTGATATTCCATCAGTAATAATTTTTTTTCTTTTTTAAAATCATATTCCATATTATTTGTCTCTAAATTTAATTATAAAAATTTTATTTTTTACAAGGGGTTTAAAAAAATATATTAATATGCTTTTTACCTTTTGGCAAGTAAAGCTTTTGAACTTCTTCTGCATATATTTTTTCTTTTTGTCTTCTTAATTTTTGATATTTCAGTATGTTTTTAGAAATTTCCTTTAATTTATCGCCATTTAGTAAATTTAAAACTGAGAAAAGAATAAAATTTTATTATGTCAAACAACAACGAAAATATCATTCCAAATGAAATTAAAATTCAATTTGAAAAAAAAAAAAAAAAATTCAAACCCAAGTTTCTAAATTCAAAATCGACATTTTGACCAAAAGCGTTGCAAAGTTGGACGCATAAATCCGAAGCAATTTCAATTTTTCTAAAATAATTTTGAATTACTGATAGATTTAAAATATCTTCACTTTCCAATATGTCGTTTAATATAATATTGCTTGAAATTAAGTTTACGTTGTATTAGGTAAATGTTTAAAAATAAACGTTCAAATTTATTACTTATAAATATTTTTTACCAAATATATAAAGCAATTTGTACAAATTCCGTTTCCATTCCTATTCTTTCGAATAATGTTTTTATATATTCTTGAACTGTGATTTGTATGGAACGTAAATTTAATTCAGAATAATCAATTTCGCTAACTGCCAAATCATTTGAAGACGCATCCATCTTACATAAATTATTTAAAGGAGAAATTAAGTAACACCAACTAAATAATTATTATCGTTACTTTTAAAGGGTTAAATTTTTATTTCACAACGTTTGCATTTAATAAATGACATCAACGACTTCTCTATTACGATCTACCTTAAAATAAAATATAAAAGTTTTACGTTATTAAACATTTTTCAACTTTTTGAAATTTGTTAAATGTAATGGCTGCCGTTACCATGAGTTTAAATGTAATTGTATGAATAAATAATTTTTAATAAAAATTTAAAGTGTTACCTATTTCATTAGAAAATTATTCTTTACTTAATATTTATTACGATTACTAATAATTATTAATAAAAAAAAAAGATGTTCATTTGATTAAATGATGTTTCTTTTAAAGTAACTTTAAAATTTTTAAGAACTATAGAAATAACGAGAAAATGCCCGGGTGTAATTTCGATTTGTTCAAATTAATTTTTGTAAGGTTGGCAATGATTATTAAACTAGAGTTTGTGTGTCCTTTTACAAGCGTTTGTGTTTAATTAGTCACTGAAATAATTAAATTTTAAAAGGTATGATTTAATTTTAGTTGTATTAAAATTCATTAATATTTTTTTTTATATTTTAAAATGTGTTTAAATATTAATTTGAACGTTATTGAATAAAACACAATTAAATTTTGATGATTCTTTTTTTGTCTCTCTCTCTCTGTCTCTCTATCTCTCTCAATTTTGGCGTTTTTTCCGTTAGAAGCCGGTACGCTTGGCTTGTTTCATTGAATGAAAAAAATGAATGCACGTTAGAATTATTATTAAGTTTTATTTTATTTTTTTTTTTATACAAAGTTAATGTAATTTTGTTTTTTTTTTTTTTTTAAATGAAGTTTTCTAATTTTTAAAATAAATCCACATAATATTGCTTTGATTAGATTTAAAATTTTTTTTTTAATGAGTTTATGGTAGCGTCTCGGTAGCTGTTGAATCACACCCTAAGTAATTTTTTTATTAAATTATTGAAAATTAATATTAATTGATAAAATGTTTAAATTTCATTATTATTATTATTATTTTTATTAAATTACAATATTTTTTTTTCTATTTTATATAACAGAAGATCAACAAGTTGTAGTGTTCTATTGGTTTACAATGACGTAACGGAATAAATTACAATAGCCATTTTTGGTGATTTAAACAATTATTATTATTATCAAGCAGTTACCATAATTTTTCTTTTTTTGTCGATAAAATGGCATCAATTCCAAAAAAAACTTATTCACGAAGAAAAGCTTCGAATATAAGTTTTTTAGAATCGAATAAGGATAATTCAGATCCTTTTGATAAATTGCTCCAATCTCCTTTGTAAGTATTGGTGTAAATAAAAATTTTTTTAATTTTTTGCATAATCCCGATTAAAAATATTTTTTTATGTACTTTAAAGTATTGTGAAATAAAATTTCAGAAAACAGGATGTTAAATTCAAACCCCTGAGCTTTTGGGAGGCAAACATAGAGAAAAAATGTAAAAAGCAAAGTAAATCTAGTAAAAGTAATGTCGATATATTTTATGACTCCGACGAATTGAATTTCACAAAAACGAATAATAGTAAGTTTATTTTAAATATTTCACACAGCGATTGCAATCAATTTATAAAAATTATGCAGTTTTCATAAAAGGTGTTCAAAAACTGTAAAATATTTTTAACATTTAGTTGAATGGTGAAATTTTTGTTTTTAATAAATAGGAACTTCAAGAAGAAAGTGGAATAGTCTTGAGAATAAAATTCGGAAAAAATATTCAAAAATTAATGAAAATAATAATAATGTTAGAATATCTGGAAATAATATTATTGAATTTTACCAAGAAACTAATAAACTGTCTAAAAATCGTATGAGAAATAATGAAAATCCTGTTAATAAAAGTTTTTCATTTGTAACATTAAGAAAAAAATATTCAAATTCAAATAAGACTGATAAAAGTTATTTCAATAAGAAACCTAATTATAAATTAAATAATAATAGTAATAAGGAAAAAATAAATAATAACAATTCTAGTCATTTTGAAAGTTTTAATAATAATAATAATAATAATAAGCAAAATATTGTCGATAAGAAAAACATGATTGAATCCTTTTATGTGAAAAATTCTTTGGCTGATGCTACTAGAGATTGTAGTTTAATTGGAAAAAATATTTGGCAATTATCTTGTAATGGTTTGAATAATTTTGATAATTATGATACAAAATATAAATTTGATAATAATATTTGCATGTTAAATAATTTGGAAATTCCAATGTTTAAATGTGATGGTATTATAAATGATAAAACGTTTGTGGTAAATGAAGGAAAATTTCAATCTATATGCACTGATTATTCTGATTTTGAAGGTGTGCTTAATTTTAATTTATTTTCATTGTAATTCTACTAACGTTTAATATTCGAAACAAAAATTTCAATAATTATTCTGTGTTGTAATAAGTACTCCAAGTTTTTAATTATTGATATTTTAATGTAAAAAAAATTTTTTTTTTTTTTTTTTTTTTCCCAGAGACATCAACACTTATTTGCCAAAATGACGATGAAAAAAGTTCACTTTCTTCAGGTAAAGAAACGAAAAAAAAAAAATAAATATATATATGTCAAATATTTTATACTTAAAAACTTATTTAAAAATAATTTTCAGATAGTGGACAAGGCCTTGAAGATTTTTCTCAAGTTTTATCATTAGCAACCATGATTTCCGATATAAATATTTCAAATTCTGATTTTAACGAGCCTGAAAAGAATGTAAATGAAAATTATTTAGGCACTGAAAGAAACACCAACAATGCACCTGTCACCATTACAGTAACATCACCTTGTTATTCTCCTTTTGCAAGTGAGTTGTTAATCAAGTTAATTTTTTTTCTTTTGGGAATTTACATGCAATTTGAAAATTATCATTTTCCTCCATATTATAAAATAAAGTTTTACCGTAAAAAAATTTTTTTTTTATGTTTTCGCAGGTAGTCAATTCACGAGCAATTGTTCATTTAAAAATGTTACCACAAGAAGAAATAATTTCAACAAGAAAAATAAATGGCAAATGAATAAAAATGATGAGAACGCGGATCCGAATAGTTTGACGGTACAAAACAACAAAACAAGTGAAATTTTTATCAATGGCGACCAAACACTTCTCGATAGCTATTATTCGGTCGATAAAGAGATTTTCCTGTCGCCACAATTGGATAAAGGGGATAAAAGGAATAAAAATTTCTTAGATTCGACTCATTTACAATGGTCTAGTCCAGCGTTTGAATCAACTCGAATTTTTATCAACAATGAAGACGAGGGAAATGTTTTAAAAAAACCGGAGTCATCATCAGAAGGCGGCGGCGATAGTAGTTTTTTTGACAAAACTCTGGTTTCAAAATCTAATTTAATTGTACCGAATGACTCGCATCAAAATTTTACACTTCCAACCGATGAAATTGTTAATAATTTGACAAAAAGAAAATCAAAAATTTGTAAAAGTTTATCTAAAACTGCAAGAGGTAAAGCACAAAAAAGTTTGTTTCATTCTTTAATCTTTTTGAGTAAATAAAAAATGACTGAATGTTAATTTTTAAAATTTTTGATTGCAGGTTTTCAATGTAAGGATGCTTCGAATACTATTTGTTCCCTATCGAACACTTATGTCAAAAGAAGAGCGACCATAAATCACACGATAAAATTTCTTACGAGTGATGGTTTTTCCGAAACTTCAAGCGATTTTAAAAAAGCTTACGAATGTCAGACAAACGTTACGGTTTTACAAGGTTAAAAATCAATTTCACATCGATTTGATTTGTCTTATTGGTGTTAAATTTATTAATATTATTATTATTATTATTATCATTAGGAGACTCTTTCGAAAAAACATTGGTTCAAGAAGGGGATTTGAATTTGGCAAAAGAAATTATTCTTCGAGAATGCAATCAAAAAGAAGTACTTCCGTTTGATAAATATTTCAATGAAAGGTACATTGCAAGAAAACATCCCCGACCTATTACCTATCGGAAATTTATATATTTTTTTTAATGAATTAATAATAATTAAATTTAATTAATTTTTTTTTAGTACTCTTAAAAATTGTAAGAAAATCGGAGAAGGTGTTTTCGGTGAAGTTTTCATGTACAACGATGACACGGTCATCAAAATCATACCCATCGAAGGTGAGCAGAAAGTTAATGGAGAACCGCAAAAAAAATTCGAAGAGATTTTATCGGAAGTGACGATCGCATCGTGAGTTGGAAAATAATTTTTGAGGGATGAAAAGAATTTTTTTTTTTTGATAATTATTTTAAAAAAAAAAAAATTATTTAATTTTAAAAGGAAATTGAGCAATTTGAGGCGGGGTCAAGACAATCAAAGTTTTGGATTTTCCAAAATGTTAAAATGTTGGCTCGTCATTGGCAAATATCCAGAATTTTTAATTAATCTTTGGAACGATTTCGACGCGCAAGGAGAAGGATCCGAAAACGATTCTCCAGAAATGTTTACAGAGGATCAATTGTTTATTGTTTTAGAATTGGAAAACGGTGGCAGGAGTTTAGAAGCGTTTACGTTTAATTCAGCCGAACAATCTTTTTCAATTTTTGTGCAAGTAAGAACACTCTCTCACATTATTATTGAATTCTAATAATAGATTTCAGAGTGGATTCATGGGAATAAGAAAAAGTTTTCTGGTTGCGTTCAAGGGTAGTGGATCTAACTCATGTCGTTTTATACATGACTAGATCCATACTCTTCAACGAATCCGGATCGTGCTTCGTCGATGTAAAGGTCACGAAGGTTAGGTCGGTCAATAATTTTTTTAAAAATTAATTTAAATGAAGTAAATATGTTTTTCATAGACGGCGTTCAGTTTAGCCGCAGCCGAAAATGCATTCGAATTCGAACATAGGGATTTGCATTGGGGTAATATATTGATATCGAAAACGTGCGAAAAATCGACAACCCACGTGTTAAACGGAGTCAAATACGAAATACCTACAAAAGGCGTTAAGGTTTCAATAATAGATTTTACACTGTCGAGAGTCGTTCACGAGGATTGTTGCGTTTTCAACGATCTTTCCCTGGATCCGACACTGTTTCAATCGCACGGAGATTATCAATTTGAAATTTATAGAATGATGCAAAGAGAATTAAAGTCAGTTTTCGCCATTAATTCATTTTTATGTAAGAATGAATCGACCGTTACATCTTTGGCATTTTTATTTATTTATTTATTTTTGTTTGTTTCTAGTGATGATTGGTCGCTTTTCAAACCGAAAAATAATATTTATTGGCTTCATTACACACTCGATAAAATGATCAAAATGGTTAAATACAAGAAGAAAACGACACAAGTTCATAAGAAATATATGAAAGAATTAAAAACTTTAGAATCCGTCATTCTCGACTATGATAATTGTACAGATTTTTGTTTATCTCGAACTTTTTTCGAATAGAATCGTTTATTGGTATTTTTAGTTTTAAAAAAAAAGGATTAGAATTTATTATAAAATTGAATTATAAAAAAAAAAAACAAAATACGTTTGACGTAATGATTTATAGAAAAGAACTCATGAAATGTTTATTTTTTTCTTTGTTTCTTGTAAATATTGAAAAAATTAGTTTAAAAATTTTTTTTATTTTTAATATTTTTGTACGAAAAAGAGATTTTTAATAGAATTAAATAATGAAATTATTAAAATGCGTTTATTTATTTTATAAATGGGAAATTAAATTTAATATGATTTCCGTGTTTGACAAGATGGCCGCACACGATATGATTTGCGTTTTGTAATAAATGCGTGTAATCGTCACTTATGCAGGAAATTAATTTAATTTTTCTTAATTGTTATTTTGTGTTATATAATAAAACTTTACGTTAATTAGTTTTTATAATAATAACGATAACTACGCCTAAAAAAATTAAAATTTTCTAAATTTTTAAAATTCTATAAGGGAAAATTGTCGCAAAATTGTTATCAGATAATTCATTAAAATTGTAAACATTAAAATGGTCGAATACGTCAAATTAATTTTACTTTTTAATTTATACGTGACATGAAATGATATGAAACTAATACTGTTTTATAATTTTATTTATTATTAATCATTAAAATGTAATTTGTACTTAATAAATAAGTATTTAACACGTTCAAGATAATTTTTACCGAATATTGGATATTTTGAAATGAAAAGTTTCCAAAAGAATGAATCTCAAATTTCGAAAAAAGGAAATTCTAAGACCGAAACGTCTTATATCAATCACGATAAAGATAAAATTAATTATTTATTGATAAAAGAAAATTCTGATAATAAATCTGAAAATAAAATCATCGATTTAAATGATTTTCCAGCATTGAATTGTGATTCTAAAACTACAGTTAATCGCAGGCAACAACAAATTGGTAATAGTAGTGAAATAAATTGTAGAAAATCATGGATATCTGTTGTAAATACAAACATAAAAAATAATGGCGAAAATGAAAATATAAAACAAACTAATAATATTAACTTATTACAAATTAAAGAAGGTAAATTAAAGTAATAAATCACTTGTTTAATACGAGTATATATTTCATTAATTAACATTAATATATATTTATTCGTTTTAGATAATAATGAAAAGAATAATGAAGTTATGAGCAAGAAGAAAAATAAAAAAAAGGCATCATCTTCCAAAAAAGTTATTGTAAAACCTGCCAATAATCCTTATAAAAAAAAAAGAAGTGCTCCAATATCTGTTAATTTAATCGAAGTCATTAATGTTTGTATTATATCCATAAATGTATTTACCATTAATAAAAGTTGCAGTACTTTACATGATTTACTTTATTTTATTATGTTTAGGTAAATAACAGCCAAAAAAATAGTAAAAAAGAAACACATAGTAAAAATATAAGAAAACCAAAGGGAGAAACACTTTATGGAAACATTTTAGACTCGTCAAATCCGATAAGAAAAAGAGGAAAATATAGAGAGAATAAAAAAAAAAAATTAACAAATTTAAAATTGAAAATAATCATGGAAAGAATTATAAAACAAAAACAAAAAGAAAATAATTTAAATTTAAATGATATTGATTTTAAATCAGAGTTGGAAAATTATTTGAAAAAATTAAACGAAATTAAATTACAAAAGAAAATTAAAAAAAAAAAAGAAGTCGGAAAAAAAAAAAAGATTAAAAATTTAAAACAAAATAAATCTTATGAAAAAATTAATAATGGGAAATGTAAAGAAAATTCCAAAGAAAATAAAAAAAAAGAAGAGAAAATTTTCCATGAAAAAAATTTAAATGTAAATATCAATAATAATTCATTAGAAAAAAAATTTGATGGGAAAACGATAAAATTTTCATCAAAATTAAGAGAGTTAGTTAGTTTTTAAATAATTAATAGTTTTTTTTTCTTTTTATGATATGAAAATCATTTTTGACAAGTGAGAAAATCTTATTTTTTGATAAAAAAACTTAACTTCATGTTTAATTTATTAAATTGTTTGAGCTTTTATTTGTCGATAAAAGTATTTGTGAAAAATTATGGTTTTTCAGGTACTGTGAAAACCTAATAACTCCTTCTCTCGATTTAGCTGTAGCAGAACTCATAAAAGATTTAATAAGATTACAGGATAGAGCATTCATACATGATCCGATAAAAGCGAAAGCTAAAAAACGACACATATCTGGATTGAGAGAAGTTAAAAAATATTTTACATTAAATAAAATCAAAATGCTTATAATTCCACCTAATTTGGAAAAGTTACAAATGGAAGGTAAATTTAAGACAATTTTTTATCTTTTACAATATTTTATTAATTTATTAAATTTATTTTTTTTCCTTACCTTTTTAAAGGAAGCATTTTTGATACGATAAATGAATTGAAAGCTTTGGCAAAAAGTCAAAATGTACCTTGTGTATTCGCATTGAACAGGTACAAATTGGGAAGGTGTACAAAAAAAAATGTTTCAGTTAGTGCTTTTGGAGTTATTAATTATGAAGGACTCGAGGTAATTTTTTTTTTTTTTTTAACTACAATAATAATAATAATAATATGTTTAATTACATGCATAACACTTTTGATCGATAAGGAAAACTGAAGGAAAACTCATGTTAATTTTTTTTTAACAGGATAGATTTCAAAGTGTTTTAAAAGAATTAGAAGATGCTAAAAAATTATTTGTCGAAAAAGTTCAAAAAGAAGACAATATTAATAAACAAAATGAAATGGAAAAAATTAATCTTCCACTTAAAACGACTTTAAAGGAAGCTTTGGTAGAAAATTTACACAAAAAAAAATAAAGAACAACATTAAATTTATTAATATTTTTATACTTCTTAATAAAAAAAAAATTGTCTATAAAATATTTTGTAAATAAATATTAATAAAAAATTATTAAATATGTGTCTTTTTTTTTTTTTTTTTTTTTTTTTTTTTTTCATAAAATACTTATTAATTGTGTCATACTAATAAGAGCGCTATTAAATTATGATTTAAAAAAAAAAAAATTAATAATTTTAAATTATTTAAAACTGGTTTTTATTTCTACATAACATTAAAATACCGATACAAAATTTTAATTAATAAATTTAATATTGAAATTTATTTTTCATAAAAAAAAAAAAAAAAAAAAAAACCGGTAAACAATTAATAAAAAAGAATAAAAAAGCGCTGTTTAATGCAAGCGGAAAAAAAATGAACTAAAAATTTTAAACTTGATGCTCAACAAGTAGTGTGTCGAACGAACGTTAAAACGAATATTTAGTTAGCGGGAAGTGCATTTATGATTAGGTGTGTGTGTGTGTGTGTTTTTTTGTTATAAAATAAACGTATTAAACAGTTTCTTTTTTTGTTTAAATGATTTAAATTAAGTTAATTTTTTATTTAGGATAATTAGGATACGTATAGGTTCTTTATCGGGTATTAAGGTACGTTCAAAATTTTAATTTCAACCCTCTACTTGGAAACCCGTTCCAATTAACAGCCATTTTTAATTCCATTTTTTTTTTTTTGAAATGGCGGTGTGTTTTTACACATATTATAAACTATAATAATTTTATTGAAAATATTTACTTATATCGATACATTGTTTTATTTTTACATAACGCAATTGTTTTTTGTTGTTTCCTTTTTAATATTTGTCAGCATTTGACAATTTTTAAGTAGGGTAAATGTTATTAATGCGGTCACTTGAATTATTAACTCATATTAATACATGCCTTCAATGTCAAGTGCAACTTTTATTATTATTATTATTATTATTTAAAAAATTTTACATGGAATTATTATTCACAATTGTTGTTGTTGGGTTAAATTTTTAAAAAATTATTAATCAATTTTATTTCTTTTTCCATGTTAAACATTTATAACTTACCAACCACTAACCACTTACCACTATTTAAAATATTGTATGAAAAGAAAACAAGTTCCTTTACTGGTTATTATTTTCCAAAATAAAATTTATGTTCTTATTTTTCTCTCTTATTATTATTTAAATTACAATGATTTTTAATAATTTCAAATTTAATTTTTTTTCTCAAATCAATGAGAATCCAAGGATTTTACCCAACACATTCCCAATCAGCCATTGTAGCACATATACATAAACATAAATATATTTTATTTTATTTATGTTTATTGTTACATACATGCAAACATGATAAATCATGATGATTTATTAACAAAAAAAAAAACAAGTTAAAACTAGTTAAAACAAAATTTTGATATTATTTATTTGTAAAATGACAAATACAAAAATGTTTAATCAATTAAATGAGATGGACAATTATTATCATTATGATGGCGGTGGTGGTGATGATGTGGGTACGTTAAACTTTTTTTTTGTAGGAAAAGAATGAAAAATTTATTCTAATTTATTCTTTATGTAAAATATTTAAAAAAAGAAGAAATTTAAAGATTATGAAATTGCATTTAAAAAAATACATTTTTGTATAATTTAAAATGAATTCAACAACAACGTTTTTTTAAACAATTATTGTTCAAAATTTGAGTAACGGTTTTTATTTTAATAACAACAACAACAACAAGTGGACCGGGTAATAAGGCCTGATTCTTTACGTCGACAAAAAAAAAAGAAGAAAACAATAAATGTCACATATATATACTTAAAATCAAAATAGAAATCATTCGCACGATGTAAAACACGCAAAAAGAGTCTCCACCATAAAAAAAAAAAAAAAAAGAAAGGAAATGAAAATCAATTATCATCATCATCATCATCAAAAGAGTGGGGAGTCGGGGGGGGGGAAGGGTTCCGAAAAGGATTTGTCGAGGTGATGCACAAACGAACGGGGTTAAAGCCTAAACGAATTTATTTTTGTAAATTTCAAAGGTCAAAATATTATAATTAATTTCCTTATTTGAAACATAATAATAATAATAATAATAATAATAATATTAATAATAATAATAGTAGTACATGTGAAATTTTGCGGTTAATAAATATTTAGATTTATTTGGAATTTGAAAAATTTACAAACACACGTGTTCGCGTACGTGTATTACCTATCGCATACCCATCGTGCCAGGCTACCTGTTGTTGTTGTTGTTGTTGCATTTACGATGGTTTGTTACCGTTGAGTGAGCATAACAAACGAAATTTTGGCCAAAATAAGTTAGTCAAAATGTCTACTAAAAACTATTCGTAATCGTTTGGGGGAAAATTGGGGGAAAGAAACGATAATGATGGTAATACCCCCGGAGGGTGATAAAGGTTAGAAAGGAGTTTAAACAACGATGGGTATACAAAAAAAAGAGAGAGAGAGAGAAAATTACATACGTTTTTTGATTTGTAACCTCTTTTTCTCTCTCTCCATAAGATAATTTTCGTGTCACGAAGTGAAAAACGTTTTACGTAACATGAGATGCATCGCGAGCTCTGTTAGGTTAGTTTCCTAAAGCGAAGAAGTTTTGTTTAGTTGGCGCGGAGTAATAATTTTGAAAAATTTTTCGAATACCGTAAGTCCAAGACTTGTTGTATTGAATAAAAGTGAAAATAATAATAATAATTATTGTAATTATAACGGAAGTGGTATAAGTAAACCGCGAACTTTTGTTTACTGCCATGTGCCACACATTATTGCTTACCACTGCTTATTTTCTAGGTTACCTCCTCATGATCATCTTTCCGTTCGTGTAATTTAAGGAGGTGGTGAGAATATTTTTTCGTTTAGCACAGGTTCATTGCCACTAACTAACGGTGGAGTCAATGGTTTTTATGTAAAAAAATTTTTTTTTTTTTTTTATAGCATTCATTCTTTTTTTATTATAATAATTATTATTATTAATTTTTTTTAAAACCATATCTTTCGGATTTGTGCATTTGATTTCACGTGAATCATAAAAATTCAATGGAATCATAGAAAACAAACTTTGAGTCCCTCTTTCTCTCTCTCTCCATTTTTTTTGTTGTTGTTCTTCTCGCAATCTATTTTTATAAACTCAATTTTTTTTTTCTAGAAAGGGAGAAAATGGTGGATTTTATTAAGAGCATGTAAACGACCAGCTGATAAATTTCCATTATTTTGATTATGAAAAAAAATTTTTTTTTATCGAAGGTCATAAAACGGGTACCTCCTAGTAACAATAAAAAAAAAGAAAAAATTTTTTTCTCAATAAGTTTTGTCATCGTTACTACTCAAGTTCATTGTCAGTCGAGAGAGGACATACCTTGGTACGTTAAATACCAAAGCCAGATGAGTCGTCGTCGTCGTCGTAATAACATCATTTGGTCATCATTATTATCTATATTTGCGTATTGTTATTATTATTATTTTTTTTTGTCATATTTCTCCGAGATGAGAAAGGCTTTTTAAAAGAAAATTTTGACGAAATTAGTTTGTGAGAAAACGTTTAATAATATGTTAGTGAGGTTAAGTCGAAATAATAAATGTCTTGTTGTCTTCAATAAATTTGATTAATCGCACTGGGAGGCTTGCGTGACTGTTTTTTTTTTTTTTTTTTTTTCTCAAGATGGGTACGGAGGAACTCGATGGAAAAAAAAAAAGAAAAAGAGAGAAGAAAGAGAAAAATAAATCTTTACACACGATTGTCCCAAGACGAACTCTCAAGACTCAATTAGTTTGTATTCAGAGTTTTAAAAAAAAAAAAAAAAAAAACGAACGCCATTTTAACTTTTTGACCAGTTGTCCCATAGCAACAACAACAACAACTCGATGGTACGAGGATAGAGAAGTCGGTGTGAGAGAAAGAAAAAAGAAGAAAAAAAATATATAATTCCGATTGAGAGCAAGATTACAACATGGACGTATCAAAAAATTTTTGTTTTCGGTACACGAAAAACAAACGACAAATTTGCCTAATTAACAACAACAATCGAATTTTTAAATGGGGTGCAGATGTGGGTAGTTAGTGGGGGGGTAATGCGTTATATAACATTTTTATTTCAAAGGAGTGTATTAAATTAAGGTACGGTGCTAACTTGCCAACTGTTATTGTTTGAATTTCACCCGACCGAATACAATTATCATCATCATCGTCGTCATCGTCGTCGCCATTTTTAAATAGAAATCATACGTGGGTAGTAAAAGTTCAAAGAGAGACTTTTCGTTTGTCGAATAAGGAAAACAAAAAAGAAAAAGTCTTTCGCCACGATGATCGAAGAAATCATTTGCAAGTTGCAGATCAATCAGAAGACAAAAAAAAAAAATTTATCTTTTTGGTCCATTTTTTTCGAGATCATCCCTACACACACACACACGCGTGTTGTTTTGTCGAGGATGATTTTTTATTATTTTTTGTCTAGTTCCACGGTGAAGTCATCAAACCAAAACGAAGAATTCATTTTCGGATGGATGGATGGATAAAGGAAATTTTATTTGAATTTACTTTCACTCATGTTACACTCGTTTCATTTTTGTTGTTTTTTTTTTTTAAATCGTTTTTATTTCTCGTCTCTGGTATAGAACCATTAATTTTTTTTTAAATGTTTTGTTTTTTTACAAGGTTTACAAGGTTTCGCTAAATCTTTTGTGGGTTTTTTTTTCTTATTCTTCTTCTCGATCGACATCACCGTGTCGGATATGAATCCGTCGTGGATGTGTGTGTGTCGGTTCGAATTTTTTTTTTTTTAAATTCAAAAACTTTAAACTAGGTAGCAAGTTGTGAAATGAATGGAAGGTTTTTTTTTTTTTTTTGCAGTTAAAAGTGCGCACACCTATTTACTTATTGGCAAAAATTAAATTAGCATTTTTTTTTTTTTTTTTTTGCTCAACAAATTACTCGTTTCTTATTTTAAATGCATTAACCTCGTGCATTGACA